TGAGGAGATGGTGGAGGATTTGGGTACAGGGACAATGGTGGCCATTTTGAAGCAGGCTGGGACTACAGACAGAGAGAGGGAAAGGTTGAAGATGTGTGTAAACACTCCAGCCAGCTGACCCGCGCATGACCTGAGGACGCTGCCGGGAATCCCGTCCGGACCAGTAGCGTTGCGTGCGTTCACCCTCCTGAAGCACCTCCGCACATCCTCTTCAGACACAGTGTGCGCGCTGACGTCATCCGCGGTGCGCTCACTGTCCGGTCTCATGGAGTTCGCTGTGTCGAATCTGGCATAGAAGGCGTTTAGATCCTCACACAGAGAGGCCGTGGTCTGCGGTGTGCTGGTTCTCCCTCTAAAGTCTGTGATTGTGTTTAGTCCCTGCCACATACTCCGGGGGTTGTCAAGCTGTTGCTCCACGCTGTCTCTGTACTCACGTTTGGCTGCTTTGATCGTCTTCCGGAGTTGGTAATGTGCGTGTTTGTAGTCTGATGTGTTCGCGGAGGCAAAGGAGGTGCTCCGCGCCGCCAGCGCCGTTCGCACAAAAAGATATAGCCATGATGTTCACTTTTGCCTCAGACAGACTTATTGCTGTTTTATGGTGTGGCTGAATCTGCGATCCGCTGTCACGCTGACTGGAATAACAAATGCTGCAACAGGGGTTGTAGTCAGGTTCGGAGTCACTGGCTGGAGCGGACCCGACTTTAATACGTCATCCCAAAGTAGAAGCTAATATCTTAATTTGACCTGGAATGAAAAATGTTATAAAACCTCTTAAAAGTTTTTATCACAGAGAAGGCAGCGCTCACCATTCAGTCTGACGGCACACCGGAGTTTGCGCAGCGTGTGCGCTTATTGAATCTGTGTGTGTGTGTGTGTGTGTGTGTCTGTGTGTGTGTGTGTGTGTGTGTGTGTGTGTGTGTGTGTGTGTGTGTCTGTGTGTGTGTGTGTGTGCGCGCGGCACAGCCGCTCCAGTCACCGCGTCTCGTTATTGGCGCTATTTAAACCAACGTTGTAAAATGACTTCTGTCCAGCCCAGATGTGCTCACTTGTGCACCCGTGAGCCGTGGCTCTGCTGGAACGCGTCTGACCTCTGACAGACGCACTCTGAACTTCAGATCTTCAGCGCGCTGTTAATAGCCTGGATGGGAATCATTTCTTGTTATTTAGTTACATCCACAATGTTCTGTGTGTGAGGTTTACAACGTCAGAACACCTGCATGAGACAGGTGTTAATTACAATCTGCCAGAATGACTCGCCACCTTCAGATTCCTCCAACACCGTTAAAAATGATCAAATACGGAACATATCGGCGTACGCAGGCCAGAGCGCTGAAGCTCGGAGCATTGTTATTATGAAGCTAGGGCACATGTGGAGGACACACACACACACACACACATACACACACACACACACACACACATACACACACACACACACGCAAGCAAAATATACTTGTTTTCAATTACATTTATTGGGCCCACTTACTTTTTCTTAGGCCCACCCACAAATGAGTTTCTACACTAATGGTGACATATGACAGACTTCTCTGAGCTCCGCAGCCATTACACTTTTCACCTCGTGCACCCCCTAGCGGCAGCTCGCGCACCCCCAGGGGTGCGCATACCACACTTTGGGAATCCCTGCGTAGATCACTAACAAATTGTGGTGTGTTGGTGGTTAAGGACCTCCAAGTGGAACCTCTGGTTTAACTGGCATAGTACGAATGAATATCATCCACAAATGCTACAGCGAATGCTTTGGCCAGCATGGGCTGACTTTGTTTGACCAACGCTTGTGTCTGAGGCTCCTGAGCCTGCTGTTCAGGCATTGCCGAGGTGTCACCAGCTTAAGAGAGACGCTCCTCAATGAACCTCAGTAATGGTTAAAGTGCTGGAACGACTGATGCATCTGCATCCCAGGAGGCACAATGAAATGTGTGGCCACCTCGTGCTCAGAGCAGTACACAGGCATAGCCAGGGCCAGATTAACACTTTGTTGTACCCTGGGCAACAATATTCAAGGGCCCCATCATCACGACCCAAGGATCACCATAATGTGGTCACATACAGAATATTGTACTGTAATATGCAGTAAATATACTCAATACTTGAATGCCTGACATCACGTAACCCGCTCAGGGTAACCTTTGACCCACCTCGTGTGGACTGACCAATGAGGAGAGGGTCTTAACTTGAGGCCCTCTCTTCATTGGTCAGTCTGCATGAGACTGACTCTCAACTGACATTCAGTCGTAGGCAGCGAAGCGTCTCTGTGCAGCAAAAAAGCCCGGGTGGACAGTTTGTTTAATGTAGGGTGATCATATTTCCATTTCCAAACAAGAGGACAGGGGATCTGTGCCTATGACGTCACACTATGGCAACGCCACACAAACCATGTTGGGACCCATTTTGTTGTAAGAATTAAATTAATATCAGATTCTGCCAATAAAAGGGCTTTAAAACAATTTATATGTAAATATTTAGCATATTTACTGCAAAATCTCATTTTTCTACTTTAGTGCAGCAACAAGGTTTTATTAATAATAAATTATAATACCTTTTGTTTTACTACAGCATCGGTACGCTTCCTGTGCACAGATTATTAAGAATGCTTGTTTCAGCTGTGAGATTAGACGATAGGATCAATGAAAAAATAAGTTGTCACACACTCCATGGAAACTTTCAGAGAATCCACAAATTGCAGAGGTCACCACTGGCCACTAGGGTGTGCTGCGATCAAGCCTCGAGGGAAAAAGGTGTATTCAGGGATGTGCCTGAAGTCAGGGCTGTTGCTAGCTATTTTGGTGCCCTAAGCTTATGTCTAATACCCCTTGTCATCTGCCCCCCCCCACACACACACACACACACACATACAGAAAAAACAACACAATGACACAGTATGTGCGAGCGCTTCGCCTTAAATTCTCTTAAATTCTCTTGTATGCACAAACTGCTTATTATTTTCCAAAAAGTAGGATTGATATTTAGTGTGCGTGCGTGTGTGTGTGGTGGTGTGTGTGTGTGTGTGTGTGGGGGGGGGGGGTCATTTTGCCTTGGCCCTCAAAATGTCTTGAAACGGCCCTGGGTGTGTGACTGAGTTTTGAAGGTGATCTGAATTGTATCAGATGTATAAATATTACATGTGTATAACTTATTGTTTTTTACTGGTAAAAACGTGTAGTGGAGATAAATCTACCTACATTTTACTTTGTTTTCTTGTTTTTATTGAACTATTTCCTGTCCTGTCTGTCTCTCATCTTCCTGCATCTCCTCTAAACTCTCCAGAAAATCTGCTGCCTGGATTCTTACCCCGGGTTTCCACGGGAGGCGTCAGCAGCACGTTACTGCAGCAGCACGTCTAGCTGCTGCTTGGCCCTTCCCACAAGACGCGAAGCAGCAGGAGAGCAGCTGTCACCGACCGAGCACGAAGTCTCACGAGTGACTTCGTCAGTAAACACAACAACAAGCAGGAGAAAACTACAACATGGCTCCAAAATGTTTGTGTTTTTATGTTCTGTCCGTTTTATAATCGCCAATACGGACCTGAAAAACAAAGGAGACCGCTAACTAGGTGATAACTTCTCACGGGGCCGCAGTTAGTAACTTTTTTTAAAGTAAAGCAACCGGAAGGCAGTACGTTCTTTATTCTGAAAATCTCGAGAGCTTCTCGCCATTTCCGCGTCCGATTTCCTGTCTTTCCTTCCCCAAAAATGTCGAACTTGACCCGTTTCAGAGGCGTCGCGCGTAGAAAATAGAACCGGCGCGTAAAGGCCGCGACATGCTGCTCCTGAGACGCGTCCGACTCGCGCTGCTGACGGCTCCGGTGGAAAAGGTTCTGTTGACCACAGCGGTTCCTATCAGCAGCTATGACGTGCTGCTGCAGTAACGTGCTGCTGACGGCTGCTGTGGAAAGCCGGGGTTACTTTTTCACCTCATCAGTTACTTCTGAGCAGATCAAAGATCTCCTGACCGCAAAGCGGAGAGCGCGTTTCGATGCTGCGTCAGTGAGGTGACATCACCGCAGCACAGGTGATGAGCTCCGCAGTAGCAGAGCGCTTCAGGCACAAATAAGACAGAAAGTAGAGAACATGTGCGGACATGAACCATCGTGTGCTAATTATAGTTTTTTGGTTGCGCCACTTTGAGAATTGACCGTGCGCTGGAAGCAGCTGCCTGGAGCGCTGCGCTCTCTGCTCAGAAGAGTCCATAAATGATGTAATGTAGAAAACTTTTTTTCCGGCTCCCCTGGATGTGTAGGATATCTAACTCCCCCATAATTCGATCTCTGCTCCTGGATGAAAAGCCGGACATCAGTACAAGAAGACCCCCCCCCGACAGAGAGTGAAAAGTGGACATGTCCGGGGAAAACAGGACGTACAGTCACACTAGTTTAATATAAAGCGGGAGATTACAGATACAGTATTTTGCTCGTGCCCTTGATGCCCTGGGCCCTTTAGAGTTCGTGGGCCCTGGGCAATTGCCCATGCCCATATGGTTAATCCGGCCTTGGGCATTGCTGCGTTGTTTGGGCACCCTGGCCTCCCTGCTGGATTACTCACCCCAGCGTCTTTGGAAAAAGGTTAAGCTTATGTCTAATAGCCCTTGTCATCTGCCAAGTTGGGTCACTCAGTTGGCATCCTTTGATTTTGAGATCAATTACAGCTCAGGAAGGGGCAACAGAAATGCTGATGTGTTGTTCGACTGTGTGGTGCTCGACCATCATCCGGTTCCTCCTCTGCTGGTTTAACAGATGATCGGTGAGCAGCTCCTCTCTCTCCCCGTCAGGCTGAGTGAATGGCCTTCATTTGATGAGACGACTCAGGTCCTGATTTGGGGCTAATAAACTAGAATTGTGTGTGTGTGTGTGTGTGTGTGTGTGTGTGTCACTTCCGCACCACGTGAGCTACCGGGAGGATGGATGGATCCGTCGCCCACCGGTCCGGGAGAGGAGGCAGAGCAGCATCGGTGAGCCCCAGCCTCAGGACCGGAGATCCGCCGACATGGATGCGGACTTGGCGGTGTCCATGTCGGTGCTCGTGCTGATCGTGTTGCTGAGCCACGTGACCCTCTGGTTGCTGCTCCGGACCGCCGCTGTCGCGGACACCGGCTACGCGGTGGAGCTCGCGTGCACCTTCCAGCTGTGCTGCTGCTCGCACGAGCTAAGGCTGCTTTCCGAGGTGGGAGGGATCCACCCTCACCTCGCGCGCACTTTGACGTACCTGGCGTCAGTGGTCCATGGGCTCACTTTCAGGGGGGGCATCGGTAACCCCTGCGGCTTGATCGAGCGCGTGTACCACGCGAGACTCTCAGGTGGCTGCGCACTGCGGCGGATTGCGTGCCAGTTCGCCGCTGCCATCCTGGCACGTGCGGTCTTACCGGTGGTGTGGTGTCTGGGGCTGTCGGGACTGCACGTGCGACAGAAGATGCTCGGTTTCCGGTGCATCAGCCAAGTGCACACCACCCTGCTGGAGGCCACCGCGGCGGAGCTCGCGTGCGCTTTTGCGGTTCAGACTGTGGTCACGCACACGCAGGCTTTGCAGGAGAAATACCGCGTGCACGCTGTAGCGGCCATCATCACCACGGTGGCTGCCGCAGGTACGGTGGGGCTGCTGTTACCTAGGCTACAGGAGGTGTTTCTGTAGCAACAGCTGTTGGTTTATGGAGTAACCAGAACATTTAGGAATAAACTAGTGACCTCACTAAAACTTTCATTCAAGCTCCCAAACAGCAACTTTTCTGCTTTTCGAACTTTTGTTGTTGCTGCAAAGCATTGTGGGTGATTCTGCTGAGAGGGGTATGTTGCAGGTAAAAGCCTGGTAATGTGTGTGCGTGTGCGTGCGTGCGTGTGTGTGTGTGTGTGTGTGTGTGTGTGTGTGTGTGTGTGTGTGTGTGTGTTTAGGTGGCAGCGTGACAGGAGCCGTGTCCAACCCCGCCTTGGCCTTCTCCACCCAGTTCCTCTGCAGTGGAACCTCCTTTCTGGAGAACTGTGTGGTGTTCTGGCTCGGCCCGGTTCTGGGTAGGAGAGACTTCAGTTCTTTTCTGATTCCTACAGTAGGAATAAACTTGTAACTTGTAACAAACTCGAAGCGGTCATCAAAACACGAAGCATGACATGGAGTTATCCTCGTGGGTCAATAAGAGAAAGCAGCAGCTCGCTTTAAAAAGCTTTTATCTTCACTTGTGAAAGTCACGTTGTTTTCTATGTAATCAAAAGGAAGCTGAAAGGAAGGACAAAGGAAAATGTGTAACGGGAGGAAAACAGACCAAAATAGAAAGAAGAAAGGCAAAAGCACAGGAGCGCTGACAGGAAGGAGAACGCACTCAAAGGGAGAGACAGACCGGAAACTAGAGGAGGACTAATAAAGATGGAAAGTAACTCGTGTCAGAAGGGGAGAGTTTCACAAATCCAGTTAAAGGTAAGATTGTTGAAAACTGAGTGAAAGGGGGCCGTGTCTGTGTTCGCCTTGGGCCCCCAAATTGCTAAATCCGCCCCTGCTCCCACTGATGAGTTGTACCTCTGAAAGGCTCGGGTGTTAGGGTTAGCCTAGCCCAAGAGAGTAAAGGCGAGTCTCCAGGTTAATAGTTGATGTTCACCTGATTGTCCTAATAACTGAACATAATAATCAAAGCTCATGTTGACTCTGGCGGTTCTACCTTCCATCTGAGCCCACACGGGCCTAAACCAGGAGAAGTCGCTGACGAACATGAAGCATACAAGATAAAGCAGCAAACCACGCTGCCTTACAGGGATCACCTATTTAAACTCTCCTGTTCTGGTCCATGCAGGTACGCTGGCCTCGGTGCTGCTGTCTGATCAACTCAGCCAGGTGTTCTCACCTGCAGCACAGTCTCTTTACCTGCCACTGCAACCCAAGAAGAGGACGTGAGCGTGGCGTTCCACCCAGAGCCATCAGCTGCTCCAACAGGCTGTTGATGACATCATCATGGGGATTTTCCAGCTGCAGCACAAACAGTCCATCGAACTCTGATCTACGTCTGTCTGGATCCTGTAGGACTTATTTGTTTCTATTTTTATTCTCGTGACTTTCAAATATTTTCTTCTATTTCCAATCCAATCCAATTTTATTTATAAAGCGCATTCACAAGGCATTACAACCAAACAAGGCGCTGTACACTAAAAATGTTGGTTAATTAAACCGGCGTTATACAAACATGTCGAACACAGATAAAAGATAAAAAGGAAATACAACAAAATTCCCAAAAATAACAGCTAAAAATCATTAAGACACAGGGTGAAGTAAAAATAGGAAAAACATTTTACAAAGAACCTCAATAATACGGAAGTCGATAATTGTAAAGTCCATTTTTAAACAGTGCAGATGTCAGTGAGGTTCATAATTATGTTGTATAAGCTAGGTTGAAGTAGTGAGTTTTCAGGCGTGATTTAAAAATGCTAGCTGTTGGTGCTAGCCTCACTAACAGTGGTAATGCGTTCCACAGCTTCGGTGCACAGACAGAGAAAGCCCTCTCTCCACGGCTTTTTAAACGTGCATTGGGAACAGCTAGGAGGAGCTTATCTTCAGACCTGAGAGCACGCGGCGGGTTGTAGTAATGGACAAGTTCACACAGATATGGAGGAGCTTGATGGTTCAAGGATTTGTAAGTGAGAAGCAAAATTTTGAAGTTTATCCTGAACTGCACGGGCAACCAGTGGAGAGCATCCATCTTCAGAGCCTGGTCCATTTTTACTCCAAGGTTGGAGATTACAGAGGATACATTAGGTGAGAGATAGCTGAGGTCAGGTTGATGAGTAGCCGTGGTACTGTAAGGACTGAAAACGATTAAGTCAGTTTTGGAGTCAATAAGATGGAGGAAGTTGTCAGCTAGCCATTGCTTGACCTCAAGGATACAATCAGACAGAACTTTCATTGATTGAGTTGGCTTAAATGAAAAGTAGATTTGACAGTCGTCAGCGTAAAGATGGTATGAGACAGCGTGCTTTCTGAAAATGGCTCCTAAGGGCGGTATATAGAGGTTGAACAGTAACGGGCTGAGAATTGAACCTTGTGGGACACCCCAACGTAGAGGCTGTGACTCGGATGAACAGCCGTCCAACATGACCCTAGCAGACCTGTTACAAAAGTATGACCTAAACCAATCCAGGGCAGTGCCTGAAATGCCAGCCCAAGTGTGAAGTCTTGTGATCAAAATGTCATGATCGATCGTGTCGAATGCTGCAGATGGGTTTGGGTTACCCCTTTAAAACAATAAACCCAAGTCTGGCATAAAGGTCTTTCAATCCAGATTATTTTATGTGTTAAAAACACGACTGAAGGAACAAAGGGCTGCATAGAGAACAGCCTGGGAGCTAAAACCCTGAAGACAGGAAACAATCCTTACACAGCGTCTCAAGGTAGACATCACGAGGCGCGCGACTACAAAATGATACATAAAGAGATTTAAAATATGTTGATGTGATAAAAAATAATAATATAAGGAAAGGTGGAGCAAGGAGAGGGAGGTGATGACGGTCCCACCTGAGCCTGAACAGGTGAGTTTAAAGGAGACCACTGAGTCCACTGATCTCAGGCTCAGGGGGAGAGAGGTCCAGAGTCTGGGGGCCGCAGCAGCAGATGATCTGTCACCTTTGACCTTTAGCCTGGTGCTGCACACTGGACCTCAGGGACCTGCTGGGGGTGTAGGGACTAAGAAGATCACCAATGTAAGATGGTGCTTGTCCATGTAAGGCCCTATAGACCAGAACCAGGATCTTGCACCACATGCAGATGATGTAACTCGTGCCTCTAGAGTCTCACCGTTGTAGACTGAAGTCGGATTTTACGGGTGAAATATTTGCAGAACAACTTCTCTACGATTATGCTACCTACAGCTTCTGCCAGCTTTGATTGGCTGTTAAATCTGGACCTGTGCTGCTGCTGAGGTCATGACCCTCAGATGTGATTCCCAATCATTGGTCTACTGCTGCTCTTTTACATCACACCTGCGTATTTAACATGGCCTGAGTAAATACTAGTGAGCTGCTGTTGGCTCACAGCTGGTTTCCCTCTTTCCTGTTCACTCTCTCTCTTTCTTAACATTTTTAATCACAATTGTCTATTTTTGCTCATTTTAAATATATTTTTAAACATTTTCTAAATTCTTTTTTATATTTTTACATGTTTTGTTCTTGTGAAGCGCCTCGTGGTTTTTATCTTGAGAGGCGCTATAGAAACGATATTTTCTTCTTCTACCCTTTACTGATTTGCCTGTTTGAGGTCAAAGGTCAGATGTTCACCTTCAGGATTCAAAGGGTTCAAATGAAGCAACTGGACTTTGGTTTCTTGAAGACGTTTCGCTTCTCATCCGAGGAGTAACAAACTGTAAAGCACCTTGGGGGGTTCCAGGGCTCTAGAAGGCCCGATAAATACAGGCCAGTGACATGGAGCATCCGTCTGTGTGGGTTTTTCACCCACTGGTCCTGAATGTCCATCTGAACGCACACAGACCAGTATCTGCATCTGGACTCGCATCACCCCCGATGCACAAGCTGTCAGTCATCAGCACTTTACACCATCGGGCCGAGAACGTTCCCACAAAGACTGAAGGAAAACACAAGCTCTCCAGAACTTCAGATACCCGACCTGGGCCTTTGTCAAATCTAGTCCGGAAAAGCATCCAAAGCAGCAACCAGCAAAGAAAAGGACAACCACCATCCCACACGTGGCAGGAGTCCCAGAGAAACCTAGAAGAATCTTCTCCAAACACGACATCCCAGTAAACTTTAACCCAACAACACCCTCAGACAGAACCTGGTCCACCCAGAACCCAAACAGAAGCTCGGTGGTGTGGTTTATGCAGTCCAGTGTAGCGAGGACTGTCCAGATGTTTCCATCGGGGAAACTAAACAACAACTACACACGAGCATGGCACGACACAGGAGAGCCACCTCTTCAGGTCAGGACTCTGCGGTCCACCTGCACCTGAAGCACAAGGACACATGCTGGACAGAGAAGAGAGATGGAGAGAGAGGAGTAAAAGAAGCCATCTATGTCAAACGTGAAAAACCCACTTAAATAGGGGCGGGGCTTAGATTTCACCTTTCTAGTACCTATAATGCAGCTTGGATCCCATTCCTGAGCAGCTTCAGTCTAGCTCACACCTTCCTGTGTCTAGTCAGCACAACGACTTCCTCTCAGTAGATGCTAATGACTCATCATGGGATGGAGAGGAGGGGTATTCAGAGTAGTTTCTGCTGGTTTAATAACAGACAGCTGCAGCTTATGAGCGCGACTCTCCCATATTCCAGTCAGGACTGACAAAGCTCCTCAGATGAGAAGTGAATTGTCTTGGGCGACGGTGAAACAGGAGTCAGGTGCTCGCCCCTTAATCAGAAGGTTGCAGGTTCGAGCCCCGATAGATATAGATTGAGAGGGATGATAGAAAATGAGAGAAATGAGTGTGTCCTACCGCACAATAGCTGCATCCAGGCACGAGTCTGGTAAACAGTGGAGATGTTGCAGAAGAGCACCATGCAGGCGATGCAGCTGAGGATCAGCACCATGGACAGCAGCACGAACGCCGAGGCCACTTTGAAGCCTCCAGACAGGACGGAGCTGAAGTCGGCGAAGCAGCCAGCGCAGTGGTTCCTGGCTGCCGGCTCTGGGCTCCTCACTCACGCAGGAGTGGAAGAGGCCGAAGTAGCCGGTCCGCGTCGTTCGCCGATCCAGCAGGGTTGGACGAACACCATATTGACGATGGCCCACATCACCCTGATGGCTCGGGAGTTGTGCGTGTAAATGTCATGGTAGATCTTGGAGGCTTCTTGGGAAGGCAACATGTTTGGTGTAGTTTCTTCTCCTCTTTGGAGCTATCCCTGCGTCTGACTCACTTCAACAGTCATGGACAAAACGCCGCTCTGCTGGGCCACACACCTAACCTCCATCACCTGCTGCTGCTGGTGGTCGGAGGGACCGGTGGCACCTGCGCTCAGCAGCCTCGCCTGTCAGGGCGCCCCAGGGCAGCTGTGGCTACATCGTAGCTCATCACCACCAGTGTGTGAATGAGTGAATGACTGACTGTGATGTAAAGCTCCTTGGGGGGTTCCAGGACTCTAGAAGGCGCTATATTAAACACAGGCCATTTACCATTCATGAAACCAAAGAAGTCCAGCTGCCTTCATTTGAACCCTTTTGGATAACCGGGACCGGGCCGGCCGAGAACCTCCACCAGCACGCTGCTCAGAACCCTGACCCAGACCCAGAATGGTTCTGAACCAGCTGTAAACATGCTTATTTCAGCTTTTCTAACACACTGCTGCCAGCACCTAGTGGATGAGGCAGGAACTGCAGTTTTAGCCACTTCCTTGCTGGCTTCCTAAACTCCCAGGATTGGTGGGGGGGGTCTGTGTGGGACTGACTCCAGATGGAACGACACGCCCACCCTGGTGGATGGTTTGGGTTAGTGAAGGTCAAACAGCTGAATGTGACGTTCAGCCCATCAGGAACGAGGTGGTGCTAGCTTCTTCAGGCTCGACATATCAACTATTTAAGGAGATCCAACAGTCCGTTCATGAAATACAAAACAATCTTGTTTATTGACACTTTTACAAACACGTTCCTCCAGCAGGAACCACTAAGTTGGTCTTTAGAGCAACAGCATCACATGGATCGGGGAGGTGGAGATTAGAGCTGCTGTCCTCGTTAATCCCACCGCTGCTTCCTCTGGCTGGACGAGATCCGTCTGCAGGAAGTTAAATCATAACCGTCATGACAGGTGACTTCAGATCCCACCTGCACCGGGCCTCGCAGTGACACGTGGTGGGCATGACTCCAAACGTCAAACATGGACCTGAAAGGTGCTGGAGGTGATGAACTCACCAGTGATCCACATCTGCATCCTCAAACTGCCCCGCCTCCATCGCTGCAGCATCCACCTCCATCCCATCTGGGACAACACACACACACACACACACACACACACACACACACACACACACACACACACACGTTAGTGTTCACACACAGCGCCGCTGATCCGAGCAGCAGAAACCGTTACTCCTGCCCCTTCACGGGGACCCCAGGTGCTGAACAACGACAACACAGTAAAAGGCTGAAATTCAACATTTAAAACATTAAAACACGAGAGCAACAGCTAAGAACCAGAACCAGAACCAGACCCGAGATGGACCTTCAGCCTGGCTCTACACGAGCGCAGCGATGGGGACCGTTTCATTTCTGGGGGGTCTTGGTTCCAAAGCCGAGGAACCAGAACCTCTAAGGCACGATCACCTCTGGACTTGGGCTGTGGCTGCAGAACCACTGGGAGGTCGCTCTGACCCGAACGTGGCGATCATGCAGAAACATAGCGGGTCAGCAGTGAGGCTATAGGTGGGCTTGTTCCAGACAGAGACCGGATCTTAGGACAGGGGTTCACTGGTAACCAGTCCAGAGCAGCAGCTTTCTGGAGCAGCTGCAGCCGGGTCAGTAAGGACCGGCTCAGGCCAGCAAGCAGAGACCTGGAGGTCATAAACGCCTCGGCCACAGTTCCCAACTCCTGCGGTAAAAACCGCACGAACAACAGAATCCACCTGCAGAGTCTGGCTGAACACCCAGGTGTGTGTCCCGGACTCGTCGCTGCGGAGACAGGTCCGGTCCATGGAGCTGCTGGTCATCGCAGGTAAAAGCACCGCTTCAGAGGTCAGACGGGTTTCTTTTACGGATGCTTCAGTAAAAACAAACGCGACGGTGGCGGAGGACCGAGTCCCCGCAGCAGAACCGGAGGGTTGCAGGTCCAAGTCCTGCTCAGTCCATCAGCTGTGGTGTCCTTGGGCAAGACACTTGACCCCGCTGTTGGGGGCACCTGTGTACGGAAAAGTGAGACCCTCTAGGGAGGCCCCGCCTTTCTCTTATCTGATTGGCTGGAAGGGCTCTGCTACAACTGACGTCCTCCTGCCACCAGCAGACCCGCGTTCCAGGGTCAGTACCGGACCAGAACTGGGTTACAGGCCAGGGTCAGTACCGGACCAGAACTGGGTTACAGGCCAGGGTCAGTACCGGACCAGAACTGGGTTACAGGCCAGGGTCAGTACCGGACCAGAACTGGGTTACAGGCCAGGGTCAGTACCGGACCAGAACTGGGTTACAGGCCAGGGTCAGTACCGGACCAGAACTGGGTTACACGCCAGGGTCAGTACCGGACCAGAACTGGGTTACAGGCCAGGGTCAGTACCGGACCAGAACTGGGTTACAGGCCAGGGTCAGTACCGGACCAGAACTGGGTTACACGCCAGGGTCAGTACCGGACCAGAACTGGGTTACACGCCAGGGTCAGTACCGGACCAGAACTGGGTTACAGGCCAGGGTCAGTACCGGACCAGGCAACTTTTTCAGACCTCTTCCTCAGAAGTCCGACTGGGACAAGGTGATACTACGGACTGATTGGGTTCGGGTGAGCGGGAAACGAGAGAGCGGTGTGTGTCCTCTGAGCAGCCAACATCTCTGCACAGAGCTCTCGCCACAGCTGCTCAATGGGAGGAGAGCAGACAGCGTGTGTGTGTGTGTGTGTGTGTGTGTGTGTGTGTGTGTGTGTGTGTGTGTGTGTGTTTTATGAGGTACTGGTCCTTCCAGTGAGCTTTGCAGATGTGGGAAAATGTCATCAGGCAGTAATCGTTGTTAAATTCATAATTATTCTGGGAGAGAGACCAACTCTTATCTGCCCCTGGGAGCCCCGTAATGCATAGCGTCATTTCAACATGGGGGTGTCCGCGACACGGTTTACATGCAGGTAGCGGCGCTGCGGCTGCTTTATATAGCGACTCGTTGCGTTCTCCCTCAACCCAAATCCTCGGATCACGCATTTTAGCTAAAACGCTAACGTTAGCTTGCCTTGCGTTGACTGTAGAGTTGTGGGTGATGGTCACGCAGATGTGTCATGAGATTGAAGCGTTGCTGCCTTTCACAGACACTTTTTCTGCACGTGCTGCAAACAGGATAGCCGTCTTCTATCAGCTGTCCCTCGGCATTCTTCATATATCCAAAACATGCCCGTACTTCCCACTTTGTCTTCTTTGAGGGATAATAAATGTCCTGAGCGCTGCCGTCTCCTCCTTTGACCATTATTCCAGCTTTAGCTTCAAGAAAGTTTTGGTTGTAAACAACAAAGTGCGCATGTGCCGCCGGCAACTTCAGCAGATGGTACGGTGGCTGGTAAGGGTCACCGCGCCTACGCCGCAGCCACGGTAATCCACCGAGATGATATAGTTTTTTTAAAAACAAGACGGTTATTATTATTATCAACTTTTTTACCGGGGTTTACCGCTACACCGGTTACCATGACAACCCTAGTCCAAATTTTAGAAACGTTCCATAAAGATTATGAATGTGATGTCATCACGTGACGGCGCGCCGAGAGAACAATGGCGGCTCACGCCTGTTAACAGAGAAAACGACGCGCTTTCTGGTGGAAATAGCTGCCAGCCTTCCCCAGATGCCGCCACTAGCACCAAAGTACCCGTGGGGGTGGTAGAACCCTAGAGGGTACTATATAAATAAAGCATTTACCAAAGTAAAACAGCTGAATAATGAACTTTCCTTCAGTTTTAAATGACATTCATCTAAATCATCACCTCAAATAAACTTGTTTTTACCCTAAACGCACGAGCAGACCGCTGTAAGCCGCACCTGTAGAGCACCCTCCCACACATGAACCCTTTCTGATGATTGGCTGTTTTCTACTTCAACTCTTATGATGATGCTTCCATCTGGGATCTTCTACTAGTCACAAAAGGACTTCTAATAAGAATCCATCAGAAAAATGAAAGCTGACAAACCATCGAACTCCGCCTTGGTTTCTTCGGTTCTGACTCCAGCCATGTGGTACTGCTGAGCCACGGACTGGGCCAGCATCCCCTCCAGCCTCTCCAGCGTGGCTTGACCCTCTTGTGTCAGCGCCGATAAACCCTCGTCACACGTGTAGAAGGTGGGTATGTCGGCGTGGCCGTGCTCTAACCGGGTACAGAAACAGCAGCAGTGGGTAAACAGTTTATATTTTCAGAGTGTGTGTAAGATCTGGATGTTCACCTGCTTCTGCAGATGTCAGGTCCACGAGGAGAAAAACCAAACGTGTCCAGAGAAAAAGAACAGAATGAGTTGAGGGTTGAATATCGTGAGTCGTTCCTAATGGCAGTTACCCACCGGCCTCCTCCACGTCGTACTCCTCCCCCTCAAAGTCGTTATCAGATTCGTCGTCTTCTGGGTCCGGGTGCAGGGCCTGGCACTCGCACATGGCTGAGAACATGGACTCCACTGTGAGGAGAACCAAGGACCAGGGTTAGGGCACGTTCCTTTTTACCAGCCACCATCACAGCTGGCTCCAGATGTTGTCAAGCACCTTGGGGGGTTGTAGACCCCAAGATGGCGCCGTACAACTGCAGACCATTTAGTTTTGCCCAGTTAACTTCCAGCTGAGCTCTCGTTCTTCTGCTGTGCAGGGGTGTAATATATATTTAGCCACCAGAGGGCACAAGAGGGCCACCATCAAAACCACAGAAGCGCTCCTTTAACTAAACATATAAAAATGTTTTTTAACTTTGTGCATCACAATAAAATAACATTACATGTCGTTAATAAAATACCCGAGTCCTAAAACTGCGTGACAAGTTACGGATTGTTGACGATGGTCACAGCAGCTGGAGCACAACTAGATTCGTACCCTTTAGTCCGGCACCTATGCACCAGAAACCTGCGACCAGAGGGCAGAAGCACAAAGCGGCTCTGCAGGGGGTGCAGAAGCAATCCTCTTCACCTGGCTCATACACTGGTCTGTGGCCTAGCAAGCAGACGACCTGGCCACTTAACCATCTCATCAAGTGATGACTTGTTTCAGATTTGCTTAGTCAAACCATGACAACAATAGGAGTGGTAAAGCATGGTCATTATGGTCCTATCGTCTCCTTGAGCAGTGACCAGGAGCTCACGTCATTGATCGGTTTAGGAATAGGGACAACTGCATCCTTCCACATTCTGGGCACCTTTTGTAGCCCTAAAGGTTCATGAAACAAATGGCACAAGCTAGGACCTAGTTCATGTGGGTCCGCGACCACTTGTATTTTATTGATTTTAAGTGTCGTAAGGACCTTCCTCATGTCCTGCAACCCCGTGTCTGCTTAAGGGAACCCCAGGCGTTCCCTCTCTGTGCTAAAGTCCATACAACCAAAGCAGCATCAGCAGGTTCCTCATCAGAGGTCAGACGGTACTGTGGACCTCTTTTCCTTGACCAGCAACAACTTTCATGCTTGTCGAAGCTGAACCTCGTTTGTCTGCTGCCATCTTATTTTATTTATTTATTTACTTGAATGAGTTTTCTTTAAACAACAACTTCAAATTGAGCTTTAGAAACTAAATACCGTAAATCCTCTAATATTAGCCTGTATTTAATTAACTGCCGGGTCTAATATTTTGGCCGGTGTCGGAGTCGGCGGAGGTGAATAATGGCCGGTCTCTTATTGTGGCCGGGTGGAATGTGGTAACAAGCAAGTACGGGGGGCGGTTGTGTCATCCGTCTCACTTCTGATTTGCCAGTGATAGACCGCGAGGGTAACTTTAACCGTGCGGAGACGAAGAGGAGGCGAAAATTTGATATCAAGTTCAAAGAGAACGTGCTGATTATGCTGCAGAACACTCTGGGGAGCAGTAGCAGGGGTTGTATGAACTAGTCACTAGTCGACTTCACCGCTCTATAGTGACTTGTTATGCCTGTCATCGACTAGTCGCTGTCACGTGATAAGGACCGGCAAGATGCAGCCCTCGGAAAAGACAGCAGCCTGCTGTCAGCAGGTGACAAGCTCCTGCGCGTCGGGAGGCAACGCGCTGTGCCAGAGCGTCGGTACCGACACCCGCCGTAAAACGGACATTTAACCAAATTGTGACCTTTACCCTCTTGCAATTTAACCTTCCCCTCACCCCCATCCTAACCTTAACCAGCGTGCGCATGCAAAGCTCTGATTGTTGACGCGCTCCAGACATCTGCGTCCTGAGCACGGCCACAGTAACATTATCAAATCAGGTGTCGCCACCTCAAAAACTAATTTAACACGCGATCGTTCATGTTGGCTCATTTCCTTTTAGGTTTTCTGTCTTTTATTCTTTTATTTGTGCCTGATGCGTTTCGCTGCTGTGGATCGGGGCGCATCACCTGTTTTGTCCTCGGTGACGGACCTCACCGATGAGGCCGGCGAGCACTCCGCTGTTTTAGCGGTCAGTAGATCTTTTAGAACTGCAGTTCAAAGGTAACTCATGAGGTGAATATATATGAACCCAGGTAGCAGTTTCTCTTTAGGATTGAGAGGAGATGCAGGAAGATAATAAACAGGCAGGACAGAAAAATAGTCAAATAAAAACAAGTTAGTTTTGTACCTGCTGGTTGCAACAAACAGACACCATTGAAGGTAATCAGAAGTGAGGAACAGAAAATGAAATAATTATTTTAATGTTTAGAGCAGCAGGAACTCCGAGAGGCTGCAGGCGCATCAGTGAGTTTGCTGCCGCTGCGCAGGGGGAGGGGGGGGGGGGCTGAAGCAGAAACTACCGTTGTTAAAAGAAATGCGTTTAACTTTGAAAATGTGGGCGCATTTTTAATCGTCAAAAACTCCAGCGAACCATTAGTTCATTTTGCTCAAATAGAAATAGAGGCCTGCCTCTAATTCTGGTCCTCCTTCCAATAAAGGCCTGGAGCTTGATGAGCTTGAGTCAAATACAGGCCCGGGCCTGTATTAGAGGATTTACGGTAAACAGGATCTTTCATGGATGTAAATTCAAAGAGTCTGAGTACCCGGCCCGGAGGGTTACCCGGGTCCCACCTTGGAGCCAGGCCTGGGGTTGGGGCCCATGAGCGAGCGCCTGGTGGCCGGGCTTTCGCCCATGGGGCCCGGCCGGGCCCAACCCGAACCGGATACATGGGCTCATCCAACTGTGGACCCACCACCCGCAGGAGGAACATGAAGGGTCCGGTGCAATGTGGATCGGGTGGCAGACCAAGGCGGGAGCCTTGGCGGTCCGATCCCCGGACAAGAATACTGGTTTTTGGGACATGGAACGTCACCTCGCTGGCAGGGAAGGAGCAGGAGCTTACGGCAGAGGTTGAGCGGTACCGGCTAGATATAGTCGGACTCACCTCGACACATAGCATTGGCTCTGGAACCCAAGTCCTTGAGAGGGGTTGGATACTCTCCTTTGCTGGAGTTGCTCCAGGTGAGAGGTGGAGGGCTGGGGTTGGCTTTTTGTTAGCCCCAAGACTCTCTGCCTGTGTGTTGGGGTTTACCCCGGGGGACGAGAGGGTAGCTTCCCTGCGCCTTCGGGTCGGGAAACGGGTCCTGACTGTTTGTGCTTATGGGCCAAATGTCAGTTCAGAGTACCCACCCTTTTTGGAGTCCCTGGGACGTGTGCTAGATAGTGCTCCATCAGGGGACTCCATTGTCCTGCTGGGGGACTTCAATGCTCACGTGGGCAATGACAGCATGACCTGGAGGGGTGCGATTGGGAGGAACGGCCCGCCTGATCTGAACTCAAGTGGTGTTTCGTTATTGGACTTCTGTGCAAGCCGCAGTTTGGCCATAACGAACACCATGTTCGAACATAAGGATGCCCATCGGTACACTTGGTACCAGGGCAGCCTAGGTCACAGGTCGATGACAGACTTTGTAGTTGTATCATATGACCTGCGGCCGTATGTTTTGGACACCCGAGTGAAGAGAGGAGCGGAGCTGTCAACTGATCCCCACCTGGTGGTGAGTTGGATCAGATGGCAGAGGAAAATGCCGCGTAGACCTGGCAGACCCAAACGCATAGTGAGGGTCTGCTGGGAACGCCTGGCAGAAGAACCTGTTAAGACGGTCTTCAACTCCCACCTCCGGCAGAGCTTTGACCGCGTCCCGAGAGCAGTGGGGGACATTGACTCCGAGTGGGCCTTGTTCCACTCTGCGATTGTTGAGGCGGCTGTTGCTAGCTGTGGTCGCAAGGTGGCCGGTGCCAGTCGTGGTGGCAACCCCTGTACCCGCTGGTGGACACCAGAGGTTCGGGGAGCCGTCAGGCGGAAGGAGGAGGCCTACAGGGCGTGGCTGGTCTGTGGGTCTCCGGAGGCAGCAGACAGGTACCGGATAGCCAAACGGGGTGCAGCAGTGGCAGTTGCCGAAGCAAAATCTCGGGCGTGGGAGGAGTTTGGTGAGGCCATGGAGAAAGACCATCTATCGGCTCCAAAGAGGTTCTGGCAAACTGTCCGGCGCCTCAGGATAGGAAGGCAGCAACTCACTCACACTGTTTACAGTGGGGATGGGGAGCTGCTGACGTCAATGGGGCTATAGTCGGGTGGTGGAAGGAATACTTTGAGGAGCTCCTCAAACCCACCTATGCGCATTCCGAGGAAGAACCAGAGCCGGGAGACCTGGGGATGGACTGTCCAATCTCGGGGGCAGAAGTTGCTGAGGTAGTCAAACAACTACACAGCGGCGGAGCCCCGGGGGCGAATGAGGTTTGTCCTGGGTATCTCAAGGCTATGGATGTTGTAGGGCTGTCATGGTTGATACGTCTCTGCAACATTGCGTGGTCATCGGGGGCAGTTCCTGTGGAGTGGCAGACCGGGGTGGTGGTCCCCATCTTTAAGAAGGGTGACCTGAGGGTGTGTTCCAACTATAGGGGGATCACACTCCTCAGCCTCCCTGGAAAGGTCTACTCCAAGGTACTGGAGAGGAGGGTCCGATCGATAGTTGAATCTCAGATTGAGGAGGAGCAATGTGGTTTTCGTCCTGGCCGTGGAACTGTGGACCAGCTCTATACCCTTGCAAGGGTGATGGAGGGGGCATAGGAGTTTGCTCAACCAATCCACAAGAGTTTTGTGGATTTGGAGAAGGCTTATGACCGTGTCCCCAGGGGCACCCTGTGGGGGACGCTCCAGGAGTATGGGGTGGGTGGCTTTCTGTTAAGGGCCATTCAGTCCCTTTACCAGAGGAGCGTGAGTTTGGTCCACATAGCCGGTGGTAAGCCGGACCTGTTCCCGGTGAGGGTTGGACTCCGCCAGGGCTGCCCTTTGTCACCGGTTCTGTTCATTACCTTTATGGACAGAATTTCTAGGTGCAGCCGTGGTGTGGAGTGTGTCGAGTTTGGTGGCAGGAAAATCTCGTCTCTGCTTTTTGCGGATGATGTGGTCCTCCTAGCTTCATCCAGCTCTGACCTTCAGCTCTTGCTGGGTAGGTTCGCGGCCGAGTGGGATGAGGATCAGCACCTCCAAATCTGAGACCATGGTTCTCGACCGG